CCTGGAGTATTAGAGTTGCATTATATGGCTATTATCTTACGACCTAAATCCATATCCTCTGGTTTTTAAATACATATTTCTAAACCAAAGTTAGAGATCAATATTACAAAATACTGTATGTCGTATATTTAACTTGTCTAAAAAAAATCCATCCCAACTTTACTCATTAGGCCAGTGTGGGACAAGCATCTAACATCATGCATTTGACGAGGAAACTTGTTTTAAGCATTTGAAGTATTTAACATTCGTTGCATTTAACTTGCTAAAATTTAAATTTCTATTGTTGGAACATTTCTAACACAATTATGCAGTACACACAAAGGATTTCGTCTTGCAAATTGTGCCCTGGTATTCTACATGTGCAAAGAAACAGATGGGTCCACACGGCTAACATTTCCCTTGAGAGAGGCACGCTTGCTGATAATGTACCTGTGACGCATTGTCATAGGGGCTCTGAGATAAAGGCTCGAGGCACAGAAGCTGAGCCTGATGGCAAGCAGCTCCTGGAGTTAGAGACACCAAGCTGCTCCCATGCATTGATTGTGGAGTGTTCCTATTTTAGAAAGTGCCGGACCCTCCAACAGGATCACTTTAACCACCTCTATCTCCCAATTTGATTGCACACTCTTTTATTATTCAAAGAAAAACTGGCCTCTTGACCATTAATTCAGCGGAGGACATTTGCCAGAAAACATACCCTTTGATATTTTGCTGTCATTAATATTTCTTGTTTAGAAAACATTCCCCTTAATATTTTCCTGTCATATTCTTGGGTCTTTCGGTAAAGTCGTGTAGTTAGGTTCAAATAAAATAACAAAAATTAACTAAAAACTACGGCGTTTCAATCGCAACACAATCATCATCAGGAGAAAAAGAGCAGCAAAGCTGCTGAGGCAGGGTGTTTTAAAGGTTTGAAATGGGTGGAGCCCAAGGGTCATCAGCGAAGTGGGCGGGGCTAGTGATGTTAAAGTGAGAAATTTGCATGTAAATGTAAGATCGGAGAGCTACGTCCACGACGACGAAGCTGCGGAAGTGGCCATTGTATTGTGAGAGATTAGCATGTCAATGTAAGATCGCAGAGCCACCGCCACGTCGAGGAAAACGAGCAACGGTGGCTGTGTTAGTGAGACATTTAACCTGTTAATGTAAAGACATTTAACCTGTTAATGTAAAACCAGAGAGTCTAAAATAACTACTAACATCAGAAGGTAGGATTGAAACATCACAGCCGTCCGATGTTAGTAGTTATTTTAGACTCTCTGGTTTTACATTAACAGGTTAAATGTCTTTACATTAACAGGTTAAACGTCTCACTAACACAGTCACTGTCGCTCGTGTCCTCGACGTGGCGGTGGCTCTGCGATCTTACATTGACATGCTAATCTCTCACAATACAATGGCCACCTCCACAGCTTCGTCGTCGTGAACGTAGCTCTCCGATCTTACATTTACATGCAAATTTCACGTTAACATCACTAGCCCCGCCCACTTCGCTTATGACCCTTGGGCTATACCCCCATTTCAAACCTTTAAAACATCCTGCCTCAGCAGCTTTCCCGCTAATTTTTCTCCTGATGATTGCTTGTGTTGTGATTGAAACGCCGTAGTTTTTTGTTTTTTTTGTTATTTTCTTTGAACCTATCTACGTGACTTTACCGAAAGACCCAAGAATATGATTCCTGCAGTCACAAAAGCTTTAAGTCAAGATTTATCTTCCTGTCATAAATATGTATTGTTCAGAAAGCATTGTCCAGGTATATTGAGCAGATGGCACCCACCACCTTGTGCAAGCAACTGACTTGGCTTGAGTGTGTAATTATTTCGATTAAAATTATGAATATCACAACACGTCGACAGCTTGTCAAGTTAATTAACCCACTTCAGACTTACTTTAAGCAAGGGATATTAATCATGGGACCAACCTCTTCGTCAATCTTGGATAGCTATGGTTATTAAACAATATACACGTAAGCATGGATACAAACAGAGAAAACAATTGCAGGCTTGTATTACGATAATGCTGTTTGCCGAGCATTGTCTCTTGCCATTTTTTCTGCGATGGCATGAATTTTGAACGGCGTATTGTGCAAATAATTTACAGTATTTTGTATTTTGAAAGTGGATTTTCCACTTTATTCTTGTCCATCTGGAATTACAATTCTCGGATATCCAGTTTCCCATCCTGCTATTATTTCTAAAATCAATTCCACGTAATTATGTTCTAATTGTTTTAATTATGCTATGATTTATCGTAATAAATACACATACCACAATGCAAATGCTGCGTAAATGAACACCCAACATTTTCATGAGCACCTTTCATCATTTGGCTTTGCTTTAACTTTTACCATGGAAATTAAACTTGCATGTGAGCTGCAAATAGCAAGAAATACACTATGTCCTTCCCCATTATATTGCCCCTTTATCAGTGTAACTCAGATACATTTTGAAGTCGTGTTTATACAAATAGGGTATATAGTGCCGAATGAACAGACTAATACATCGCATTATTAATACAATTACTTACCTCGACAAGAGAGACGTTTTTTCAGCAGATTTTGTAACACTGAAAAATATAAGGGCTTGAGTAATGCTGTTCACTGCCTGTTTATCATTGAAATGTTGCACCAGTGCGACATTTGTATGCATACACAACAGAGATTTTGTCAATCACATGGCAGAGTAAATAACACCGACTTAATGGACTGTCTTGCATGAAAATCTCTGATAATTGCACTACAATTGCATGTAAGAAGATGAATGCTTTGTTTGAATTAAATTTCATGAAATGAAATGTATTATCATCGCATCCCAGTGTGCAAAAAATGGACTATGCAGAGCTGATTAAGGCTATATTTATAATTTCACAAACGTTGTTTTAATACGTTGATCAGATATTGGTTTCCTGTATTTTTCTAATTAGATTTTTGTATTTCTGCAGTGGGAAAAATGTTAAAAAATAACCCCAAAAATGTTTCTGCGTATTTACATGTTATTTACATTTAAACATGTTTACACTGCCTACAAAAAAATCCTCGAGATTCTCCAGTTTGTTATCTTTCCTGTGTGCTCTTATGCATTTCTGACCTCATACTTTCAAGACATTACTTTTTTATTTCAGCCCAAGTTACTTGCCTCACAAACCATATTAAAATGTAATGCACGTAAAAAAATAACTCAGAAACTTACTTTGCATTTTGTGATCTTTTTTTTCCTCCAAGAAGTTCCAGCGTGGAGTGAAACTGATTTCAGTAATTTTTGCTTGAAGCATCACTTATAAAATATCTGTCATATCACACTGGGTCCCATTATTGCAAACTGCTCTGGCACATAATGGCACGTAATGTCATCTGAAGCAAATTTGCAGTGTCCATCATGAAAACGGATTCGGTGCTGCATTACACCTGATTTTTATATATTGGTTAGATTCAAATCTCTTTTTGTAGGCTTGCTGCATGATTATTTTCACGTTGGACACATCAGCATTCTAGCACTGTATACACCCAGGGAGAAAATAAATACCAATAATGGGACTGTATGCACCTGAGAGGAGCCAAGATTTATTCAGCTACTATTGGAGAAGCAAAATGCTATGACCATGTGGAATATTTTGACTTTCTCACC